CCTTCTTCTTCTTTCTCTTTTCTTTCTTCTTCTTTCTTCTTCTCTACTTTAACCTAGAAACAACTAGGGCTTATTCACATGGTATCAGAGCATTAAGGTCTTTGTTCTTTTTCTTGCTGCTGTCTTCTTCCTGGGTTCGCTGCCAGCTTCACAGTAGGTTTCATCATCCTACAGCTGATCTGATTGAAGACTCGATAAAGGGCTGAAAAGGAGTTGTCGTTTTGAGGGCCTGGAGGTGAGAATGCCTCTGGCCGGTGCTGTGGTGGTCGTTGAAGTGGTATACTCACCATTTCTGAATTAATATAAGATGCCCGTGGTACACTCACCATTTCCTGCCCGGAAGCAGGAAATGCCTCTGGCCGGTGCTGGAGGTGAGAATGCCCCAACCTCTCTCTCTCTCTCTCTCTCTCGAGTAACAGGTATCTTATATTAATTCAGAAATGAAGTGTCAAATTTACACATTCAGTTCTCATTAGAATCCAAACCTTCTTTATACATTAACCATACAAATGAGTCCAAAGAAGTTGATCCTTAGATGCCCCTTGTTTGGCTAAGGTGTTGGCCAAACCATATTTGCAGTTTGGTTGATCCATCTGAAAGTGGCCTCCATTTCTCTTGTTAGTTTTTATTTCCCTAATTACCTGTCTATACACAGTCCTGCTGGGCTATTAATCATCCATCCCACTACCAACATAGAGTCCTCCTCAATCCCTTACTGTTCAATTACAGCAGTGCCATGATTTCTTCTGTCAATGAGTCTCATATCTTACTGGTCCTGAGAACAATGCCACAATTGAGCCATTTGAATCCCTGAAAATTCCCCTATCCCGAAAGACCATGGTTTCATTGGAACCTGTTACAGCTAGAGGGAGCCCACATTTCTTATGTCGTTACCTTCAAAGGAGATGAGATTACTTCCCATCCTCTAATGAAGTCATTCACTTTATAATCATTGAAGACCTTCATGGTTTTAACCCAACGAATTTACCTTCAGCTTAATGCCTTCTGTTATAGCTCCTAGCATTCTACTTTGCCCTTTAAAGATCCTATTATTGTTCTCTTCCCATATAATCCGTAAATTGCAACTCTTGTAGCTCGCCACATCATCTTACCTCTTCTTTTTTAAATCTTGGATTGAAGAAACTGGTATCATCCAAAGAATGTACCCATCTGCAACCAAAGAGAGAGCAAGAGTACTCTCAAACATAAGACATAAATAAACAGGAGACTAGTAAATTGGGTATAGTCTGACCACTAGCTTTGCACAAGATAAAAATACTGGGTGAAAGACAACTGTTAGGTCTCATTTTTAGGAGCATATCATGTGTTAATTTTCCCAAGCACCACCTCCCAACAAAAGGCATGTATCTTAGGAGACACTGGTCTCCACACCTCTTTCACTGGAACTGGGCAGCTGAAAAAGAAGAATGAAGTACACACTGAAAAAGGAAGCACAGGAAAACAATCCTCAAGAGGCTGACAATATCCTACTATCCATACAAGATGGATCCAAGCAAACCCTACCCAGAGAAGTAAGCAGATCCAATAAAGAAGAAAACTCCCCCTCCCCAAGTTCACTTCTAAATCCAAGGTCCCAAACCACCCCATTATAAGAGTTAACACAGAATTTGGAGGAAGAGAGGACATACAATGAAGGAAGCTTGTCCTTAAGACTCCCCATGCCACAGATGTTCCCAAAGTATATGTTTTTCTGCACTTCCTTGATTAATTTAATTGGAAGCTTGTTCTTAAGACTCCCCATGCCACAGATGTTCCCAAAGTATATGTTTTTCTGCACCTCCTTGATTAATTTAATTGAAGTTTTTGTTGATGAATCTGTACTCTCTATTCAACAAGTCCTTGGCGTGCAATATATTCTGTTTAACCACCTACTTCCTTATCTACCCAACATCTCTCAAACCAAAGAAAGGAATTTTGTTCACCTTTATATATGCAAGAAATTTGAAGCAAGAAAGAGGAACTGCAGTCTCTCCAATGATATGGTCAGTAGGCCTCTTGTTCACCCCGTTCTGTCCCCACCCGTGTCCTTATTAACCTCTAACTGATTAACCTAAATATTCAGAAGCCAAAAGAATGGAAAGCAAGAAATAAGAATCATACTCACTGTTGGATTAGCAATGAATGGATCTGTATGCTGATTAGTTATTATATTATCTACAAATGTGTTGTTTTATTTCAATCTGATGCATTAACTAGAATAGTAGAGTTTTCGTTTGTTTGATCCATTATTCTCATAAACAAGAACTTTGTGGTGTCAATCCAAAAATGACCTATGTGATCTATAATATTTATGAAAAAATCTTAACATCTTTATTATTGATATTTATGAACCTTTCCATGTTTCCAGACCAAAGTGGCCATCTTCTTCATTTGTTTCATCAGATGGATTAGTTACTGCGATGGCTTATCGCCTTCCAAATGTAGTATGTATTACATGTTCTGGGGATTCTTGCATCTAGTTGACAAATTTTACCAGTAACTGGACCTTTAGTCTTTAAAGCATGTAGTTGTTGAATTTGGTGACTGCAAAACTTTTCAGGTTATGGGAGACAGGTCAGGGAACATACGATGGTGGGATGTAACAACTGGGTTTTCTTCATCATTTAACACTCATAGAGAAGGAATTCGAAGGATCAAATTCTCACCTGTTGTTGCTGGAGATCGAACTAGAGGACGCATTGCTGTACTTTTTTATGACAACACATTTGCCATATTTGATCTTGTAAGTTTTAAGTGAAGTTTGTGTCATGTTTCCCATATATAACTTTTCACTTTATTGACCATATATATTTTGTTGTTTTAATTAGCTTATTCATGTGAGGAATCATATATTCTTACAGGTGCCCTATGATCACCTAGGGAGACCAACATTAGAAACTTCTGCTGGTGATAATTATAAGAAATCCAGCCTGCTCATCATCCAGAAAAAAGGACCCCTTCATGGGTTACCTATCAAACCACTAGGTTGCAAATGACCTGTAATTAAAATTATACAATAAATATAAAAATTATTAAAATCAATAAAGTTCTACAACATTATAGGTGATAACTAAGGCGAAAAATGTTCTACCCTAGGTTATCTTGTGCATTTCAAGAGGAAGAAGACAGAGGCATGGTGCCTCATCTAAATGCCCCACAGCCTAAAAGAATCAATATTAAATTATGGCCTGAATGTTTACACTTACAAGTCAATCTCTGTGGATTAATCTGTAAATATAAAATTTTAAGGGACTATATAGAAAATAAGAAAAATATGAAATAAAATATAATGTTACATCAGCAGCTATCCTCCATCTGTTTTACAATAGGAAATACTTCTAATTGTTCTTAATGTTTTGCTTTATTTGAGGAATTCATATCAATATTAGTAATAAAATAAGATTTTAATCAGAAAATTTGATGCAAACTATTAATTTAATATCCAAATGAAAACTTGTGAGACACTGGGACTATCAGTATATAAAGGACTACACAGAAATAAGAAAAGTATGAAAGTAAAAAAAAAAATCTACATTGGCAGCTATTGCCCTTCTGGTTTACAATGTGGAATACCTATAGTTGCACTTAATGTTTTCTATTATTTGATGAATAATATTAGTAAATAAATACATTTTTAATCACAAAAGATGAAGTAAACTATTATTTTTATATCTTACTGAAAACTTGTTGGACCATCTTGATTTATGGAAATCTGTCCAGGATGCCAAGCACCACTGGTCATGGCTCAGGGACACAGCAATAAATAGTATTTAGTTACATAAACAATTTAAAAATTATAGTGAAAAAAAGAAAAGTAAAGTGTTAAGTCCTGTTTGTCTTACTAGTGCAAGCACCCAAGTATTTTACCAGACAAGAAAATTACCGAGTGCAAATTGTCAGAACTTTGTCTAAGTTTCAGCATTCGAAATTTCCAAGTTTCCAGGTGTCCAGGTAACAGTGGATGTAGCATATTTTGGGGAGCAATAATATGTCTTGAAATTTATATTCAACTAAAGACGTTCTTCTCTTCCACACCTTTTTAGGAAAATTTAACTGGTTAGCTTGTTTTTTATTTGCAGGATTCACAAGATCCATTAGCCAATTCCCTTTTACAACCTCAATTTTCTGGAACCCTTGTAGTGGAACTTGATTGGTTGCCCTTGCAAACTGATAAAAATGAACCACTGGTATTATGCATTGCTGGAGCTGATAGTAGCTTTCGCCTTATTGAGGTTAATATGTATGTGACATAATCAATCATGAGTACTTTCATTCCTTTCTTTGGTACTTATATGAGAAAGTACATCAAAGTTTTATCATTTATCCTGTAATGAATGATGTTCTGACTAAAATATGGTTAATGGAAATTTACAGGCATTGGTATCTTATTAGTGATTTGTAAATCAAAGTTGTGTTTTAATATTCTTATATGGTTATTTTATGCCTAAAATTTGTTGTGTTTGCTGGAGAACAACAGCCAAAGAAGAAGAAGAAGAAGAAGAAGAAGAAGAAGAAGAAGAAGAAGAAGAAAAGAAGGAGATYTGAGAATGGCRGCTWKSWCACTTCAGCCGGCCCTATAATCTTATATAGATGTTTACAAAGTAATGTTACAAGAATGGACTAGAATGCCCCTGATTAGTGATGGGACACCTAGGCATAAAAAGAATAAAACAAGTTTAGGCCCAATAACTAAGAACTTAAAATATAAATAAGATTAACATAAACACTAAACCAATTGAGCCAACACTCCCCCTCAAGCTAAGCATGGATGTCAGTCATGTTTAGCTTGCCAAGTAAGTCTAAGAATTTCATTGAATCTAGTCCTTTTGTTAGCACATCTGCAATCTGCATCTCGGAAGGAGTATAAGGAATGCAGAGTTCCCCTGAGACTATCCTTTCTCTAACGAAGTATTGGTCAATCTCAATATGCTCCGTCCTATCATGTTGCACCGGGTTATTTGCAATGTTGATGGCAGCCATGTTGTCACAGTACAGCCTGAGAGGACACTCGACCCTTATCCCGAGCTCACCAAGAAGGGTCCTAAGCCACAATAGTTCAGCAACACCATGAGCCATAGCTCGATATTCAGCCTTTGCACTTGATCTATCAACTACATTCTGCTTTTTACTTCGCCATGTACCCAAATTCTCTCCAATGAA